AATAATATATAAAAATATTTAATAGCAAAGCTAGCTAATACTCTTTCTTGACATTGAGGGTAGAAATAGAGGAATGTTCTCCATATAACTTACTCCTTCTCTCCTAAAATTCTCTTTTGTTTCCTTCCTATTATCCTTGAATGAGGGCTTTTTTTTTTTTTTTAAGTGCACAATTTGAAGAGCAGTGACATGTTCTGAATGCCTTTATACAGTCTTAGATTATAAGAAGTAAAAATCTCAAAGGAGAACTGAAGCTAGTTATTAGCTACCAGAAGACCACCATCTAACTCTATCTCTCCCTTACAATTCCAAGGCAGAACAGAACAGTATCAGGGGAAATGAATATGGTAAAGAAACAATTATGTGAATGTTGATTATGTAGCTCAGCAGCCATAAATCTTATTGTGAAATAAAGCCAAAATAAAGACAGCCTTATAAATGTCTTTAATAATAAAATTTAATCAATATTAACAGAGCTGTAATTCATTTTATTCCTAATAGCTCTTCGCTGTTTTATCACTTAGAAACAAGTAACTTACCTGTGCTCGTTTTTCCATATCCTGGCAGGTACCTAGTTGTTCTTCCATTGCAACTCTGATTTGCCTCGCTTCATATTCCAATTGTCTTCTGGTCATATCTGTTTGTAAGGAAAACTAAAACCACAAACAATACAAAAGTATCAATATCTTGCATTTATGCTAATCAGTAAAAGCAAAAAAGCATATAAATACCAATAAAGAAAATGAATAAGCAAATATGTCAGTCATGGTGAATGAGAAAATTATTTTTTACTCCAAGGAGTGTTTAAATTTGATTATAGGTGTCAGACTCAATCCGGATCCCTGATGTGGTGTGGAATTCAAACACTTATTTGCCAAAGTCACAAGTGGCTTTAATTAGATTGGCCTATTTCACTTAAAATATATAACTGGTCCAGTTAGAGCGAGGCTAACTTCAGTTCCCTTATGACTCTTCTCTACTGAAGAGGCACTACTTTTAATTATTAAATACTAGCATATTAATGTGGACAACATAGAAATTTCAAGAAACAAGTCCATCATTCTTAAGCTTATACTTCAACTTAAGGTAAGGATTACTATATACATACAGACTAAATAGAGAGAACTTTTCCATTAATCAAACGAAGAATATGGGATAAGAAAAAGTCTACATGTAATAAAAATAATCATAAATAGAGTGGACAAAGTCAACACAGACTTTGGTAAACATTCAAAAGTAAAGCAAAGTTGAAACAAATAAAAAGAGGTACTTCTTTAGAATGGGTGATAACTGATTCAAAAATTTATTAACCCTCTAATTAAAATTCCAAGGACTGTGATAACTGCCAAGCATGCAACAGGATTTTAAAAGGACAAGGTAATGAAACCTGTGTTTCATTCACAAGTTTCATTATAAACCCATGCCCAAAAGGCTAAAAAATCTGATTAAATAAAATGATAGGTAACCGATTTATAATGGGCCATGAAGGGAATGAGAAAATGCTATAGATTTTCTGTGTGCCCAAAGAAAACTGTGTATGACATATATCTGACTCAGAATAGCATTCTGGTCTAAGAACTCCAAATTGTGTTGTCAGTTGTAGTTAGATTAGTTCTCACCCTTTTCCCTTTGCAACATACAGATGACATTCATATGCAGAATGTATTCCCTTAGGCATACCCAAATTATGGGTTGCAACAGAGATGAAATAGTCTGCATGTTATTTCTTATTCCTACTGAGCCAGTTGTAACTCCACTTATTAGTCCTCCATTTCCCAAACCCTCTCTGCAAAAAAAAAAAATTGAACATGACATACTATGTTGCAATAATGTGGTTTAGATCTGATGTTTTCAGTAATGTTTAGTATTTTGATAAGTAGGTATTTCCACATAAAGTGTTCATTAACTTGGCTTCCCAACATAAATGCAAAATTTGTGAAATTAAAAAAGTTATAAAATACAAGCAGAGTTTAAATTTGCTAATGTTGCCAATGGTCCCCAATAATGTCTTATATATCATATTAAATAAATGTGATCACTTAATAAATTAGTAGAGAATAATCAACTTGACAACTGATCTTTGTTTTAGATAGTAACCAAATACTCTTGAATCGTCATGTATATTTAAGCTCTTTCCTGAAACTGACCTCATGTAGACAGTTGGATTCTGGGTTTTGTGTATTCTCTAATGACCAAAGTTAATGGTAAGCAAAACTACACTTTGGTATTTTTCTTTATAAAAGTTATAGTCTCAACAAATCCCCCCAAATTCCTAATCCTCATATGCTAACAATTCTCCAATAAATGTTCTCTCACTACCTGTGCTCCTAAATTCCCAGGAGCACTGTTAAGTGTTAACATGTTAAGGGCCCTGTCAGAAAAAGGGATTCTCTCTCTCTCAAAACCCTGAATGATTATTCTAGGAGAGTGAGCACGTAAGATTCCAGTTCCACCTCCTGTCAGCCAATGTCCACTCAGGAAACCTGGTTAGTTACATGTTTTCAAAAAGGTTTTCTCTCTTTCAACTTTTACCTTTTTGTCTATTTTGGTCTCTCATAGTAGTGGTAGAAAATGAAAAATCTAAGCTAAGAGAATAAGTTTTATTTTAATTAGCCTATTTTCTTTTAAAAAATGACATGTGGCCAGGCATGGTGGCTCACACCTGTAATCCCAACACTTTGGGAGGCCAAGGCGGGTGGATCACGAGGTCAGGAGATACAGACCATCCCGGCTAACACGGTAAAACCCCATCTCTACTAAAAGTACAAAAAATTAGCTGGAAATGGTGGCATGCGCCTATAGTCCCAGATACTTGGGAGGCTGAGGCAGGAGAATCGCTTGAACCCGGGAGTCGGAGGTTGCAGTGAGCTGAGATTGCGCCATTGCATTCCAGCCTGGGCAACAGAGCGAGACTCCATCTCAAAAAAACAAAAACAAAAACAAAACAAAAACAAAAACAAAAAGTTACATGAAATATTTATGGATAATAGTTAAAATAGGTAGTCTTGTTTGAGATTATGTATTTTTTTCTTTTCTTTTTTTTAAAATATAGAATACTTCATGAATTTCCATGTCATCCTTGAGCAAGGGCCATGCTAATCTCCTCTGCATCATTCCAGTTTTAGGATATGTGCTGCTGACACGGCCACTACAAATGTATTTGAGAAATATTCTTATATGTGCCATCCCATGAATAAAATCATTGACACGGAGAGGGAGAGGCTGACGGGATTAGAATTTTTTTTTTTTTTTTTTTTTTTTTTTATAGAACACTGCAGACCTATAACCCGGAGCGGCTTGGAGGTGGTGAATATCAGCTCCTCAAGTCTGCAACAAAAAATGGCCTCCGATAAAACTACATTGCAAAAAATAGGAAACAAACAGAATGGAAAGAGTGAAAAAGAGGAAGAGGTAGAGCTGGAAGAATCTGTGGTGGAAAATGTACTAGACTGACGTGTAGTGAATGGGAAAGTGGAATACTTCCTGAAGTGGAAGGGATTTACAGATGCTGACAACACTTGGGAACCTAAAGAAAATTTAGATTGTTCAGGGTTAATTGAAGCATTTTTTAATTTTCAAAAAACTAGTCAAGAAAAAGATGGCACAAACAGATAATCTTTATCTGACAGTGAATCTGATGACAGTAAATCAAAGAAGAAAAGGGATGCTGCTGACAAACCAAAAAGCTTTGCCAGATGTCTTGATCCTGAAAGAGTAATTGGTGCCACAGACAGCAGTGGAGAATTGCTGTTTCTCATGAAATGGAAGGATTCAGATTAGGCAGAGTTGCTGCTGGCAGAAGAGGAAAATGTAAGGCTCCTCAAATTGTAATTGCTTTTTATAAAGAGAAATTAACTTGGCATTCTTGTCCAGAAGATGAAGCACAGTAATTGTTCACACTGTTTTATATGGGTCTTGGTTTTTGATTTACTAGTGTGAAGAAATAACTACATTTTAATGAAAATCAAGTTTGGTATGTTCGTTTTGAAAGTAGTATTGGGAGAGTTGTTGTGGATTTTCTTTTGCATTGATAGCACTGGTTACTTTGAACAAACAAATAAAAGCTTTCTGTAGTTGCTTCCTTCATCAGAAAAAAAAAAATAAAAAATTAGATACCATGGTATATTATATCCACTGCATGAGAGAACAGCTTTTCTAAATATATTAGGGGCAATTTCCATAGCCATTACTCAATCAGAACTTCTGTTTTCATATGCCTAAGGACCATTCTGGGTTTCTTATTTTGTGTGTGTGTGTGTGTATAAAGAAAATGCACACGTAAATGTTTTCTTTTTTATTGTTTTTAAACATTTACGAAAACAAAAATCACAGGTAATCCAATGTTTCTGAAATGTCATCAGTCTGAGCAATCTAAGAAAAATAAATCACTTCAAGTTAAATTGAAAAATCTCCTGAAGTCATACATTTCAAGTTAAATGAATGACTTTAAGTAATTGGACAATTTAAATTGAATAATTTAAAAGCAGCCATATCAGAATTCGTATCTGTAAATGCAATGGTTTACACAATTTCTAAAACAAAAAATTTTACCATTGCCAACAACATCCAGATGAGGAAACTAGACAAATCCTAGTGTATTTTAATTAGCTAACCAAGACAGTTATATGGACACTTAAAAGATTCCTCTGGTGAGTCATTTCTTTTTGTTTTTTCTTTTTGTTTTGAGATGGAGTCTCGCTCTGTCGCCCAGGCTGGAGTGCAGTGGTGTGATCTTGGATCACTGCAACCTCTGCCTCCCAGGTTCAAGTGATTTTCCTGCCTCAGCCTCCCAAGTAGCTGAGACTACAGGCATGGACCACCACGTCTGGCCAATTTTTGTATTTACGTTAGTAGAGACAGAGTTTTACCATGCTGACCAGGCTGGTCTCGAACTCCTGGCCTTAAGTGATCCACCTTCCTCAGCCTCCCAAAATGCTGGGGTTACAGGCGTGAGCCTCTGCCATGATGAGTCATTTCTTAACAAAAAGCTGAAGTCCCTGTGTTACATTGACTAAAAGGTCACGATTCATGTCTAAGACTTGGCTCATAGAAACCTAATCAGATGGTTAGGACCTGCTGTCATAAATGGGTGAACAAACTTCTGTAATCTAAACTATTGACTTGCATATATTTTCTTTACTCCAACACATTCATTACATGTAGGTTCGATCTTTTCAGTATATGTTTTACTGGTTCAGCAGAGGACAAGAAAAACAACCCCTTGTAGTAAATCAGAATGTTACTCAACTGCACACTGTTAGTTTATTGTGAATACTGGTGGACAGTTGTCAATAGTTCCATATTCCTTAAAAAAATTTTAAAACATAGTTATATTTGCAAAACAAACCAACTTTAGTGTTTGCAAAAATGCTAATATCTGTACTATAGCTATTGGCATTTATATCTGGAATATTTTCAGAGATATTTTTATTGCAAAAACTATATGGCATAATTCCTGTAACAGTACAAAAAACAGGCAGATGGTAACAAATATTTCTATAGAATATGTTTGACAATTCAATACACAGAAATAAAAAACTAGTTGCCTAGTTGAACCATGAGGTCCTCTAGAATTCAAACTTTATAGATTTTCTAAATAAGAGCTTTAAATAAAACATTTGTTTGAGCACAATAGTTTTATCATCTTTACAAACAAAAATTCATTAACTATTATATATTCAGGCCTAAAGTTGGGTAAAATATATTACAGTTTACAAATAACTATAAATTCAGTTATCCTGAATTTTAATGGATTACCTAGGTACTTTAATATATCAAGTTATTAAAGTTTCAAATAAGTTGTAC